GCTTCATGGAATGGGTTTCCATGGCCGAGCAGCCGCACACAAGCCTAAGATCACTATGCGCATTGCCAAGTGTGGCTGGAGTGGTGTAAAACTCGCCGACATTGGACTCTGGAAACGCATTTTCTGGAGTGATGAATCACGCTTCAACATCTGGCAGTCCGACGGACGAATCTGGATTTGGCGGACGCCAGGAGAACGCTACCTGCCCGAATGCATAGTGCCAACTGTAAAGTTTGGTGGAGGAGGAATAATGGTCTGGGGCTGTTTTTCATGGTTCGGGCTAGGCCCCTTAGTTCCATTGAAGGGAAATCTTAACACTACAGTATACAATGACATTCTAGACGATTCTGTGCTTCCAACTTTGTGGCAACAGTTTGGGGAAGGCCCTTCCTTGTTTCAGGTTCCAAGATAGCGTAGCAGTGCGGTCGTGTTCTCTTGTGTGTCCATGTAAATAGCCAGTTTTTTGTATTTTTTTTTGTATTTTTTGTATTTTACATATACATTTCCCTATCGCACTTTTCATCCCTCTACTAAAAATACTTTCCTGCAACCCGCCTCACTCAATGTGGAACGGATTCTATTATTTACTCACCTTTATCTAGAATCTCCAGTTGAAACTAGCCAGCCAGCTAACTAGCTAACTAGCTACTTGCTATTAGCCACCATTAGCGTTTTTCACCCAGAACATCAGATTTTCTGCCGGAATAACTGAATCACTGGACCTTAACACCGGATCTAGCTAGCCGCAACCAAATGGATGTCGAATGGATGTTGCTGTAGGCTAATCACCACTGCCCCCGTAGCACCAGTTAGCCTGAGTTAGCCCCGGCTATCTACCTCTCTGTCTACTGGATGGGAGTAGCCAGCTAACCAGCTAAATAGCTACCTACTATTAGCCACCGTTAGCGGCTTTTCTCCATTGTCCGTGGCCTGCACTACCTACCAGCCAGCTCTAGCCTGGACTATTATCGGCCAGTCTGCACTGTCTGCACAGCGAGTTATCGACCCAGAACCAATCGGATTTTCTGCCGGAATCACTGAATCGCTGGACTGTTCCTTCACACGGTACCCTGTCCTGTTTATTTTGTTTAGCCTCAGCCCAAACTTTATCGCCATTACCAGTTGTTGTCTTAGCTCTCTCTAATAACACCTGTGATTGCTTTATGCCTCTCTCCCATGTCAATATGCCTTGCCTATTGCTGTTCCAGTTAGTTCTTATTATACAATTTCACTGTAGAACCCCAAGTCCCTCTCAAACTGCCTCAAATAGTTCCTTTGTTCCACCCCCCATACACGCCGAGACCGGCTCAATCGGTGCCTCCAGTGATGCTATCTCTTTCATTGTTACCCAACGCTTAGGTTTACCTCCACTGTACTCATATCCTTCCATATCCTTGTCTGTACATAATGCCCTGAATCTTTTCTACAACGCCCGGAAATCTGCCCCATTTATTCTCTGTACCCAACGCACTAGAAGACCAGTTCTTAAAGCCTTTAGCCGTATCCTTATTCTAGTCCTCCTCTGTTCCTCTGGTGATGTAGAGGCTAACCCAGGCCCTGCAGCCCCCAGTATCACTCCTACTCCCCAGGAGCTATCATTTGTTGAGTTCTGTAACCGTAAAAGCCTTGGTTTTCTGCACGTTAACATCAGAAGCCTCCTTCCTAAGTTTGAGTTATTCACTGAGTTAGCACACTCCGCCAACCCTAATGTTCTAGCAGTGTCTGAATCCTGGCTTAGGAAGGCCACCAAAAATTCTGAAATGTCCATCCCCAACTACAACATTTTCCGTATCCATATTCCGATGTATCAAATACTTAAGTCATGCAATAAAATGCAAATTAATTACTTAAAAATCATACAATGTGATTTTCTGGATTTTTGTTTTAGATTATGTCTCTCACAGTTGAAGTGTACCTATGATAAAAATTACAGACCTCTACATGCTTTGTAAGTAGGAAAACCTGCAAAATCGGCAGTGTATCAAATACTTGTTCTCCCCACTGTATATCCATCCTGCCCTGCCTTTCTAACGTTTTTGAAAGCCAAGTTAACAAACAGATCACCGACCATTTCGAATCCCACCGTACCTTCTCCGCTATGCAATCCGGTTTCCAAGCTGGTCATGGGTGCACCTCAGCCACGCTCAAGGTCCTAAATGATATTATAACCGCGATCGATAATAGACAGTACTGTGCAGCCGTCTTCATCGACCTGGCCAAGGCTTTCGACTCTGTCAACCACCGCATTCTTATTGTCAGACTAAATAGCCTTGGTTTCTCAAATGACTGCCTCGCCTGGTTCACCAACTACTTCTCAGATAGAGTTCAATGTGTCAAATCGGAGGGCCTGTTGTCTGGACCTATGGCAGTCTCTATGGGGGTGCCACAGGGTTCAATTCTTGGGCCGACTCTTTTCTCTGTGTATATCAATGATGTCGCTCTTGCTGCTGGTGACTCTCAGATCCACCTCTACGCAGACGACACCATTTTGTATACATCTGGCCCTTCATTGGACACTGTGTTAACAAACCTCCAAACAAGCTTCAATGCCATACAACACTCCTTCAGTAGCCTCCAACTGCTCTTAAAACACTAGTAAAACTAAACGCATGCTCTTCAATCGAACACTTCTGGCACCCGGCCACCCGACTAGAATCACTACTCTCGACGGGTCTGACCTAGAGTATGTGGACAAGTACAAATACATAGGTGTCTGGTTAGACTGTAAACTCTCCTTCCAGAATCTCCAATCCAAAGTTAAATCTAGAATCGGCTTCCTATTTCGCAACAAAGCCTCCTTCACTCCTGCTGCCAAACATGCCCTCATAAAACTGACTATCCTACCGATCCTTGACTTCGGCGATGTCATTTACAAAATAGCCTCCAACACTCTACTCAGCAAACTGGATGTAGTCCATCACAGTGCCATCCGTTTTGTCACCAAAGCCCCATATACTACCCACCACTGTGACCTATACGCTCTTGTTGACTGGTCCTCACTACATATTCGTCGCCAAACCCACTGGCTCCATTCCATCTATAAATCACTGCTAGGCAAATCCCCGCCTTATCTTAGCTCATTGGTCACCATAGCAACACCCACCCGTAGTATGCGCTCCAGCAGGTATATCTCACTGGTCATCCCAAAAGCCAACACCTCCTTTGGCCGCCATTCCTTCCAGTTCTCTGCTGCCAATGACTGGAACGAATTGCAAAAATCTCTGGAGCTGGAGACTCTTATCTCCCTCACTAACTTTAAGCATCAGTTGTCAGAGCACCTTACCGATCACTGCATCTGTACAAAGCCCATCTGAAATTAGCCCACCCAACTACCTCATCCCCATATTGTTATTTATTTTGCTCATTTGCACCCCAGTATCTATATTTGCACATCATCTCTATCATTCCAGTGTTAATACTATTTGTAATTATTTTGCTCTATAGCTTAATTAGAACGCCGACTGAGAGCCAGGCCTAATCGCCCAACATCAGTGCCCAAACTCACTAATGCTCATGGCTGTATGGAAGCAAGTCCCTGCAGCAATGTTCCAACATCTAGTGGAAAGCCTTCCCAGAAGAGTAGAGGCTGTTATAGCATCAAAGGGGGGACCAACTCCATATTAATGCCCATGATTTTTTAATGAGATGTTTGACGAGCAGGAGTCCACATACCTTTGGTCAAGTAGTGTATCTAGGATCAGATTCCCAGACCCCCAATCTTAACCTTAATCATAAGTGGTATGAAAAGATATCGGCACCTAGTACCTGAATTAGTGGGTTTACCCTACTTCCAATCCATCCAGTCTGTTCAGCATTGATAAGGGGCTTTTCAAACACATTATACATCACACACTACGTTAGTATAATGGAAAGGTCTGAAATTAAGTGGTGATGACATCAGGGGTGCGGATAGAGGGATGAAGAGAGGAGGGCCGGATGGATAGAGCAGCAGGGTCCCGGTGGGAGGCTTACATAAACACAGGAAGTGCCTCACTGGGTGGGCAGCGCTGCTTGATCATGACTTCAATAGCTCCCTCTCTTTACTGCTCTTTCCATCTCTCCCTATTGGGTGGAACCCAACTGGAAAGGCTTTTTATAGCTAGAGAACGCAGAGCGACTCATAGCGCTATCTGCTAACCATGGAGTGAACAATGAAGCCCATGCACACAGAGAGCTCTTGGACTGAGGAGGGCTGAGCGAAGCTGGATTTTAAAGGCTTTCCTGCTCTTTTATAGAAGGCTCTCAGTGATTTCCATGTTGAACCAAAGCTACAGGTCCAGTAGTCACCATGAAGTACGGTCATGGTGAGAGACTAACACCTGACCTTTGGTGGCGGCCATTTTGTCCCCCACCTTGAAGTGGATGACCCTTCCCCCTGGCCCTGTTACATCACTGAGGACGGTCGGCGGTGCGTGCTGATTTGCGACCAGCGGAGATGATGGGCAGTACAATGCATGCTGCTGGTGTAACCATGGCCAGTCATGTGGTGTCATGTGACTGTGAAGATCCACGGCTCCACCAGTCAGTCAGTGGTCACAGCCTTGGTCCACCAGTCAGCGGTCTATCTGAGTTAATGGTTTACACATCATGTCTACTTACATACACACAGACTTCTGCTCTGGACATCTGCAGCCAGCTCCACATGGACCGGACAAACAGAGAAAAGTTCTACTCAGGAGCTTGGCAACCCATTCTAATGTGTCTGTCTGGCTCACTGGTGAGCTAGTGATTGCAAGTGTTCTGCTTGTATGCAGTTAAACTGCACATGCACTGTCCCATTTGGCTAGTTATAATGAATCAAATAATTGGATTCTAGCCATGTAGGTTTATTGAGCACTGTTGATAAGAATGGCTAGCTGAAACGAAGAGCGGTCAGTTTAAAAAGCACCAGAACTGGAGGCTCAGTCAGCACGCAGCCTCCATGCTTTAGTGACATTAGGCTAACTCAAATGCAGTAGACACACTCAGTCTGCCTACAATCAGCTGAGCTTTACCTTACTTCAATGGAAAACCAGATAAGGACTTACCTGGACATCGTAAAGCGCCACAATGTTCTCATGTTGAAGTTCCTGGGAAAAGTAATGAAGAAAACAAGCACATTGGTGATACATTAGCTACTGTACTGTTGACGTGACGACTGGCTTCTATTTACATTTATAACAAGGAAGTCAAGGCCTTTCAGTCAAACATGCTGACTGATGGAGGATCGATGCCAACTAATTCTTTAAATACGTTTCCAAGATAAATGAGAAGCAATTAAGTTAAGCATACTACTCACCTTGAGGATTTTGATTTCCTTGCCAAGCAGGATCTGGGACTTGGAGAGGTTCTTCTTGTTAATGCTCTTGACAGCCACCTCCCAATCCGTCTTCTGCAGATGGAGGAAGGAGAGAAATAAAGAAGGAACAATTAGTTTAAAATCCCTTTAGACGTGTTCAGTTCCCCCATCACTCACACTAATGCCAAGGGAAGCGTGTGTGTGTGTAAAGCCCAGGTCAGGTGGCCTTTAATTGCTTTGTGTGAACTGTGCATCATTGTTTGTGAGAGAGAGATGCGGGGGAAGAGAGGACATCTTAGACATTAAACCAACACAGGTTTCTTGGGTTTCAATCAGATAGGCCTCTGTGACACTGAATGACACACTGAATGACAAAACAGTCAAAAGAATACTAGAACACAGAGTTATCATGTGAGGTAGCCCACTTCCACTAAAACCTGAGCGAGAGAGACCTATTTTCTACTCAAGTTCAGAGAGACAGTTTCCAGGCTTTCTTTATTCACATGAGCCCTTAGTGCGAGTGAGTAGCCTATAAAAAAAAAAGACTATTCAAGCTCACATGACTCAAAAGGCTTGATTTCTTTGCCCTTGAGCTACAGAGAGACACTGAGTTTGGACAATGACCACAACTCCAACTAACATAAAAGGTACTAGCCTAAATTGTGGAATGGATGGTGCATTGTAAGACTTGCCGAGAGGAATTCCATGAATAAAAAGGGCAGCTGCTTTCCAAATGAATCTAGGTTAATAGATGTTTTAATTCCACATTGCAATTTGCTCTGCTGCTAGGCAGGGTTCTACTGGCAGTGGCACAGGGAGGCTGCACTTGACAGCATGCACCAGCCAACTGTGGCATATACCGAGGCAGTGCAGCAAACAGAAACCCCATACAATAGAATGACCCCATCGGCCTTTGGTGTAATGCTGAGCAGAGGGTTATTGTTTGCACCAAATCAAGTTAATGACCAGGCTCCTGCTATGATGACACAGACACAGTCAGAGAGAATGAAGGGCAAAGTAAGCACTTTCCATTGGGGGAGGGGCTGTTTGTGCACAATTTATTTTTTAGGCAAGACCAATTTCAGTAACCGAAGTCTATGCCCCTTCATCAGTGATTGGTCAACAGTAGGGATTCTTCAATTAAGTGTTTATTGTCATTCAACGATAGATGACTCGTTTTCATGCACATTTTTTCACCTGCGAAATACTGCACCAAACATCTTAGTTAGATGTAAAATTGCACGACTAAGATGTCCTCTTCAAAAACGTCAAAATGAATGGCCAATTTCTTGAGTTATCTTAGATTATACAGACTATTCTGACATTTTTCAAGCAAAGGTCTTTTAAGGGAGTATGTGAGCACACTTGTTCGGTTCAACTAGCCAAGTTCGGCTAGGCGCCAGCCAAACCAAAGCATGCGGAAGCATTTAGTGACAGCAACATCAATATGTTAGGGATGTGCATCTTTCCCTTTTAAGACGATTCGATACGTATCTAGACACATGGGCTCCGATACGGGAACGATACTTTTTAGTTTGAAATGATTTGGTGCGATTCGGTTTGACTGGAGAATGAATTGATGTGATTCAGTTCGATGCGATACAATGCACTAACATTTGTTGCACAAACATACATTTTCCATTCTAAATTAAAATCTTCTGCTGATGGAGCTCATGAGCTGGGCCTCTCTTAGCTGGATCTGTCTGAGCTGACAAAATCACCATCACCCACTAATTAACTTGTCGTTTTTGCAGATTAAGTGTAATGTATAAATATTTATCGTTTACACAAATTAGCTATGACATTACAGCTATGAAATTATCAACTTTACCTTATATATCTTAAAATTACCATATACACTGATTGTTTAAAGCAAAACTACCAAAACTATTGCTGATGGTGAACCAGAACAATCCAAATAAAACATATTGTAAGCCCCATTCAGCAGGTATAGCCAGATGAGAGTTGTGTCTCTGGTAGCCTACTTTTATTTAGGTAAAACAACAGCGCATAGATAGCAGTAACCTAGCAAATTACATAGGTTGTTACTCAACTAATAAAGCCTAATATCACGCAAGCCCTTTTAGCATTTGAATGCTGAAGGTCACCGCGCAGATGTGCAAGATCAGGAACAGGCCGAAGCCTTAAAACGTAAAGTTGATCGATCCCCGTCGAGGGAGGAGCAGATATTTTGTATATGACAGTAAAACATTCTTATGATGACAATAACATTTGTTGGCACTTTCAATTCTTGCACTTTCTCATAAAAAGTATATTTCAACACTCGACCGCACAGACAAATTTGCCAAACTACGAAACTTGGAACCAATCAGAACTCATGTACATACCCCTCGTGATGCAGGCATCCAATGGCCTGCTTCTATCTATGATAACACAGCCGCTTGTGAAAACGCGAGCTGCTGTCTGATGAAGAGGAACAGATATAGCTAGCTAGCTCCTAGACTGAAATAAGATAAATATCTGTTTTTGAGTGCACTTCAAAACAATTCGTATTGCAGGCTGCATATTTAATCATCTGAAGAGGTAACTCCGTTGACCATTTAGCCAATTTATTGCAAGCTAGCCAATGTTACAGACTAGCCTAGCCAGCTACTGTAAATGTCAACTTCTGTTTCATTACCCATCTCTGTCAGTGAATTCAATTGTCGAATCATGTTTTGGCATGATTATGCCTAATTTCAATTAACTAGCACCAGGCTTAAAGAAACATTCAAACATACACTTTGCATAGAAACCCAAATAAAAGCATGTAGATATAAAGATGTCTGTTATGTTTGCTAGAATGGAGGTTTAAAAAAATGACAGCTGCATATGTATATTAGCCAATACATATGGCATAGCCTACACATAGAGCATACAGTGGGGAAAAAAAGTATTTAGTCAGCCACCAATTGTGCAAGTTCTCCCACTTAAAAAGATGAGAGAGGCCTGTAATTTTCATCATAGCTACACGTCAACTATGACAGACAAAATGAGAAAAGAATATCCAGAAAATCACATTGTAGGATTTTTTATGAATTTATTAGCAAATTATGGTGGAAAATAAGTATTTGGTCAATAACAAAAGTTTCTCAATACTTTGTTATATACCCTTTGTTGGCAATGACACAGGTCAAACGTTTTCCGTAAGTCTTCACAAGCTTTTCACACACTGTTGCTGGTATTTTGGCCCATTCCTCCATGCAGATCTCCTCTAGAACAGTGATGTTTTGGGGCTGTCGCTGGGCAACACGGACTTTCAACTCCCTCCAAAGATGTTCTATGGGGTTGAGATCTGGAGACTGGCTAGGCCACTCCAGGACCTTGAAATGCTTTTTACGAAGCCACTCCTTCGTTGCCCGGGCGGTGTGTTTGGGATCATCGTCATGCTGAAAGACCCAGCCACGTTTCATCTTCAATGCCCTTGCTGATAGAAGGAGGTTTTCACTCAAAATCTCACGATACATGGCCCCATTCATTCTTTCCTTTACACGGATCAGTTGTCCTGGTCCCTTTGCAGAAAAACAGCCCCAAAGCATGATGTTTCCACCCCCATGCTTCACAGTAGGTATGGTGTTCTTTGGATGCAACTCAGCATTCTTTGTCCTCCAAACACAACGAGTTGAGTTTTTACCAAAAAGTTCTATTTTGGTTTCATCTGACCATATGACATTCTCCCAATCCTCTTCTGGATCATCCAAATGCACTCTAGCAAACTTCAGACGGGCCTGGACATGTACTGGCTTAAGCAGGGGGACACGTCTGGCACTGCAGGATTTGAGTCCCTGGCGGCGTAGTGTGTTACTGATGGTAGGCTTTGTTACTTTGGTCCCAGCTCTCTGCAGGTCATTCACTAGGTCCCCCCGTGTGGTTCTGGGATTTTTGCTCACCGTTCTTGTGATCATTTTGACCCCACGGGGTGAGATCTTGCGTGGAGCCCCAGATCGAGGGAGATTATCAGTGGTCTTGTATGTCTTCCATTTCCTAATAATTGCTCCCACAGTTGATTTCTTCAAACCAAGCTGCTTACCTATTGCAGATTCAGTCTTCCCAGCCTGGTGCAGGTCTACAATTTTGTTTCTGGTGTCTTTTGACAGCTCTTTGGTCTTGGCCATAGTGGAGTTTGGAGTGTGACTGTTTGAGGTTGTGGACAGGTGTCTTTTATACTGATAACAAGTTCAAACAGGTGCCATTAATACAGGTAACGAGTGGAGGACAGAGGAGCCTCTTAAAGAAGAAGTTACAGGTCTGTGTGAGCCAGAAATCTTGTTTGTTTGTAGGTGACCAAATACTTATTTTCCACCATGATTTGCAAATAAATTCATTAAAAATCCTACAATGTGATTTTCTGGATTTTTTTTTCTCAATTTGTCTGTCATAGTTGACGTGTACCTATGATGAAAATTACAGGCCTCTCTCATCTTTTTAAGTGGGAGAACTTGCACAATTGGTGGCTGACTAAATACTTTTTTCCCCACTGTACCTTGCAATACAATTTTCTCTAAAAACAGTTGTACAATGTGCTCTGCAATAAGGTAAGTTTGATTTCTAAACAAGATGAGTTCTCAAATAGCAGCTGACCAATACCATGATGGGCATGCACAATGTTGGATGCATTGGAATATAAGGTATGGAGAATGATAAAGAGCCTGTAGGATTTTAGAAAAAACAGTTGGGAAATTCATGTTTGAGTTTCAAATACTAAATGTTCAGTGAATGTGAGTATATTTAGGTGGTTTAATATATTTAACTTTCCTACTAACCTTCAAAAGTTAACAGTGCCAAAATCTTGCCAATCCATTAATTATTCTACCAACCGTGACTGAGTGTGAGACATGTTTTCCATAATATACGTTTAATGCGTAATGTACATTTCACGTTTCATGCATACGAACAAAGAGCAACATCACACAAATAGTCTTTCACCATGAGTACGGAGACAAATAGTCTTTCACCATGAGTACGGAGACAAATAGTCTTTCACCATGAGAACGGAGACAAATAGCAAAGGTGTCTCAGGCAGTATTTGAAGTATCTAAATATAGTGTAACCTACCAATCAATGTATATCAAGTGCCTTGGAGGGCACAATCTTACAATGTTGCAGTCCAGAAATGCCAAAAGCCTGGGCCTCTAATGGCGACTGTAGAACTGTCATCAACACATGCTTCTCTCTAGGAGCATTTGTGTGCCCAGGCCCCATAGGCGTATCGAAAGGATTCCACCCTGGTCACCAATGTAGCTGACCAATGTAGAGAGGGAAATGTACATTACATTTACATTTGAGTCATTTAGCAGATGCTCTTATCCAGAGCGACTTACATGAGGAACTAGGGTTAAGTGCCTTGCTCAAGGGCACATCGACAGATCTTTCACTCAGGGATTCGAACCAGTAACTTTTCAGTTACTGGCCCAACACTCTTAACCACTAGGCTACCTGCCGCCCTGACTAGACTGTGTAAGACAAAATCCACAAAGAAAAGACAACTGGCAAATGCATATGAGGTCTCAATAGTGACGGCAGGGCTAGTTCAAACTGCAAGACTTACTGAATAGATCATGGGAGACAAAGTGAGAGACAATAATGAATAAAGATGCTTATACAAGCACGTGTATATGTAGTGAGTGTTCTCCAACTCGAAAGTGCACTAGACTGTGTAAGACAAAATCCAGAACAGGCAAATGCATATGAGGTCCCAATGTGTAAATCAGGGATGGGCAAATGTCAGCCCGTGGGCCGCATGAAGGCCCTCGGATCAATTTCCAATTTAAATTTAGGAACTCATTCGGGGTCTCAACTTACTGTTGCGAGTTAGAATACACAAGATGCAACATCTAAATTTGGTTGTGCATTAGCAGTTTCTCTCTTGTTATGTACGTCACTGACAGTCAGTCATTTAGCCCATGTCAGCTAAAATTGTTTAGATTGCTAATTTAGTTTTACAGCCAGCTATCTACACTTGTTATTATGGTCGAATTAACTGCTGGGGGCCTCCATTTATTTTGTTTGTATGAAAATGTATGCACTCACTAACTAAGTCTCTCTGGATAAGAGTGTCTGCTAAATGACTAAAATGTAAAAATGTTAGTTAGTCTCACTCGGATATAATATTAAAAACTGCAAACATTTCTCTCCTGGCCCCCACCACCATCAAAGTTGCCCATCCCTGGTCTAAATAGTGACGGCAGGGCTAATTCAAACTGCAGTAGGATGCTTAAAAGATGAGGCAATCCATCAGCCCTGTTGCAAGCACCAATAACATCCCAGTCTGTCTGTCCTGCATCTCCTAGCCTAAGTGGAAATAATCCTATTAATAGAAGGCATGCCGATGCAGGGTTATAAATATTTTAACCAGCTCAAGAACGTCACCGAAGGAAGGACATCAAGTCACATACCGGTATACTGATAGTCCACACTCACAGCTTCAAATGTACACTAAATTTAGCTGCTCTGTTCTGAGCACACGCAAACACATAAGGCTAGGTACAGTACAAACATAAGCTACACCCCAGCTCATAGGCTCCTCAATAACAGTGAAATGTACAATACTATGGTGTTACCTTGACAACCCAGCTATGACACTATACTGTAGGTGTCCCTATAATGCATGTGTCAAACATAAGGCCCGCGGGCCAAATCCGACACATTTCTATCCGGCCTGCGCAGTGATTTGGGTTGTCAATTCATTTTGGCCCGCTTCCATACAACCCGCGATGCGCTGCACTACAAGTCCCAGCAAGCACTGCCAACGTGATGCACACCAAACGGCAGTGCATTGCCACACACACACACACAAGCTAGCCAGTGCGCTGTATCATACTGTATCATCACTAATGCCACTGACCTAATCTTCTACCAGACCGAAACTTTAAACTGTTGTAGGCTAAATGTCCATGCCAAGTGGCAGTTCTAACAGGTCATTGCTGTAGCCTACAGAAAATGTCATCTTGGTTGTCAAAAATGTACAAGATAAAAAGGGAGTCACACGCGGGTATAAATTACTACTAAAGGACAATAGGACATACAGTGAGTATAAATGAGTTAACAGTTGAATCATCTACGTGGTCCTCTGTAGCTCAGCTGGTAGAGCACGGCGCTTGTAACGCCAAGGTAGTGGGTTCGATCCCCGGGACCACCCATACACAAAAATGTATGCACGCACGACTGTAAGTCGCTTTGGATAAAAGCGTCTGCTAAATGGCATATTATATTATTATTATTATATTATTATTTATCTACTTTATGAAATTACAGCCTGATGCGCTCGCATCTGTGAATTCAAAGTCAGTGTGCAGCAGAGGGAAAGTGTACAGAAACGTGCCACAGTCCTAGCTAGGCTACTACACTGAACAAAAATAGAAACGAAACATGCAACAATTTCAAAGATTTTACTGAGTTACATACAGTTCATATAAGTAAATCAGTCAATTGAAATAAATTCATTAGGACCTAATCTATGAATTTCACATGACTGGAAATACAGATATGCATCTGTTGGTCACAGATACCTTTAAAAAAAGGTTGTGCGTGGGATCAGAAAATGGCACGACAATGGGCCTCAGGATCTCGTCACGGCATCTCTGTCCATTCAAATTGCCATCGATAAAATTGAATTGTGTTCGTTGTCCGTAGCTTATGCCTGCCCATACCATAACCCCACCGCCACCATGGGGCACTCTGTTCACAACATCAGCAAACCGCTTGCCCACATGATGCCATACACACTGTCTGCAATCTGCCCGGTACAGTTGAAACAGGGATTCATCCATGAAGAGCACACTTCTCCAGCATTCCAGTGGCCATCGAAGGTGAGCAATTGCCCACTGAAGTCAGTCACGATGCCGAACTGCAGTCAGGTCAAGACCCTGTTGAGGATGACGAGCACGCAGGTGTGCTTCCCTCAGACGGTTTCTGATAGATTGTGCAGAAATTATTTGGTTGTGCAAACCCACAGCTTCATCAGATGTCCGGGTGGCTGGTCTCAGATGCTCCCGCAGGTGAAAAAGCCGGATGTGGAGGTCCTGGGCTGGCATGGTTACACGTGGTCTGCGGTTGTGAGGCCTGTTGGAGGTACTGCTAAATTCTCAAAAACAACATGAGGCGGCTTATGGTCGAGAAATTAACATTCAAATCTCTGGCAACAGCTCTGGTGGACATTCCTACAGTCAACATGCCAAATGCACACTCCCTCAAAACTTGAGACATCTGTGGCATTGTGTTGTGTGACAAAACTGCACTTTTGAGTGGCCTTTTATTGTCCCCAGCAAAAGGTGCACCTGTGTAATGATCATGCTGTTTAATCAGCTTCTTGATGAAAAAAAAAAAATGTATGCACTCACTAACTGTAAGTCGCTCTGGATAAGAGCATCTACTAAATGACTAAAATGTAAAAATGTTGATATGCCACAGCTGTCAGGTGGATGGATTATCTTGGAAAATGAGAAATGGTTACTAACAAGGATGTAAAAATAATTTATGCACAGAATGAGAGAAATAATATTTTTGTGCATATGGAAAATTTCTGGGGTCTTTTATTTCAGCTCATGAAACATGAAACTTTACATGTTGCGTTTATATATGTTTCAGTGTTAAAGGTTGCAGTCTGGCTTCGGTTTTTAAAGCCCGACAATTAATAACCAAAAAACAAAACCTGCAACAAAACACAATGCAAAAGAGAAACATGTAGGCCTATTACAGCAACATTTGAGCAGTAGCCTAGGCCGGTTACTCAACTACAATACATTTTGAGTGCACCATACAGCATTACTGTGTTCAACTGCACTAGTGATCATGCAGCGCAAAAAAATGAAAAACATTTTAGTTTAAATGTTACAACAACCTAGCAAAGTTTTTGTTATTTGGAGTTATGAAATACTTTTTGATTAGGGTCGCAGCATATTATGCACATATGCAAGCATAGCAGCAAAGGCTGGACAAATATGATTTATATCTTAATTTGTTTTAATATGTTAAAATGCTATATACAGCATCCTATCTACATAAGTGGACATTATAAAAGGGCGATAAAATAAAAATTAAAATAAAACATTGGCCAGTTTGGGTCGCAGTTGTATGCACGTTTTTTTGTAAAATGTCTGGCCCTTGTTTTATCAATATGGCCCGTGCGCGGATTGAATTTGACACCCCTACTATTGTATCCCTTAACGTTGACATACCTTATAATATAATATATGCCATTTAGCAGACGCTTTTATCCAAAGCGACTTACAGTCATGTGTGCATACATTTTTACGTATGGGTGGTCCCGGGGATCGAACCCACTACCCTGGCGTTACAAGCGCCATGCTCTACCAATTGAGCTACACTCACCATTGGAGTACCTACCTGTTATGAATCTTTGCATACTGATGTTCTGCTCTCATAAAATATTTCAATATAATACTGTAGGGTAGCATGGTGACATCATCCCTGGATGCATCACACAGTGAGATAGATGTAGAGCAGGCTCAGACATATGTAACATTCTCTCGTCTCTGACCATCCTTCAGCTGCGCCTTGATCACCTGACCTGGATCAACACAACACTGTTTGGTCCACATCCCCATCATGGACAGTCGCCACAGTCCTGTCAGTCAGTCGGTCGGTCAAGATGCTTTGTTATCACTCTGTGAGTGTGGCCAATCAAGCTAATAGGATGACCGTATCATCACTAGACTATCATCATCTCATTCTATTGTTGATATTTTACAAAATGTTGCAGTCAGGATTGCATTGTGTAGACTATTTCTCATATCATGACAAAAGATGGAGAAAGAAGACCTCTTGATGAGGAAAAACAAGCAGACATGCTCCTTTCTCTTCACCTTGTCTAGGCTGGCTGGCTACGTCAGCGAGCTATTCACTGCTGTTTGAGTCATCCGTTTCATGAATGAACGGCTCGCATCTCTCTGCACCCAGTGCCAGACCATAACGCAAGATTGCACAACATCATCACATGATCGAGGCTTATGAAACACAATAACATGCATGATCAAACATGTAAATAACATTGTTACATTTGAATACGGTGAAGCATATCAATGGATATAATTGTATTTAATTGCAATGTTTGCATCACTATCGTAACTAATATTTAGAATGTCTAGTTAGTTGAAGTCAAACTAAACACAATTATGCCAAATGACAGTTTATTTACTGCAGTGCAATGTCACTGACCTAGATTTATGTAAGCGTCACTACTCTCACATAACCTCATAGAGAACAAAAAAAGAGGAGAGGCAAGGAGAGGAGAGGGAGGGTGCAAGCAATGCAATGGGAAAGATGGAGATGCAGACCTTTAATGTTCCTGATAGTTACCTTTCTGTGCCTTCCTTTGAACACCACAGCGAAAGCTCCATGTCCCACCAGGTCCTTTCTGCTGTATTCAAAGTCTCCAACCGTCTCCATTGTCAAAGTAACTGTCCAATTTAGGTCAGGTGTCGAAAGGTTCTTTCTTCAGTGATGCACGTTGAAGGATGCTCTCTTTTGATATCAGAACCCCGGTGCAACAATATATCCACCCAAACGTTGCTTTAGCTGTCAAGCAAACTAGTCATTGTGGCGTTTCCCCGATACAAGTCAGTTTGCATGCATTCCAGTCCACCTTTGATATTGCCTGAGAAACAGCCAGGTGATGATGCAACTGATCACGTTTAAGATGGGATGCAAAACTGGAGCTAGTGTCAAATTCTTCCCTATCAGTAGCCAGGTACAACATATTCTGTAAGGCTTGACGTTGAACTATTTCCACAATCAGACACTGCAGGCAGCTTTACGCATTGCTGGCCACACTTTCACAAGGTACACAATGTCAGTACCTACTGCCAGCTGTCATTTTCTGACCCAAATTGCTAGCGTTGCAAACTGGCTAGCTACCTAGTCATATATGTATTTAGTTAGCAAACAAATTAGGTCAAAGCTGCTTTTCTTGACATTCTACATGATGTCAAGTATTCTGGATAAATAGATTGCAAGCTTCAAACACCCACAGACACTTCTACTATATAACCAGAGAGTGACATGCTGTGACAAGCGTCATGTTGCCCATTGTTGCTGGCAAGCAACCATGCTAACAACATCTTATATACAGCAGCTAGTTAGCTTTAACGTTAGCTTCATGCTACCTAAACAGAATATCAATTGAATTGACGGACATACATTTGGAATGATCAGATTATCGCAGAAGAAAAATTAAAAAATACAGGCCCATATATTTGCCTGAAAAGCTATGAAAAGCAACACTACTGAGTTTGAATAGAATTCGTGTCAGTCACAGCTAGCTGTCATAATAGTCCTCTGTGGCGAGATGTTCTTTCCAGAAGACGTCTCTCCTCTTGGAAAACATTGACGTTCGTGCGATTCTCTTCAATGTAATCCAAATGGCATCTATTCAAATTCCCTGATCGTCATCATTGGTCATCAAATCTCAGTCACTGGGCGAAAATACTTGGGTCAGCAAGAACATGGCAACCGATTCAAATTAACCTTTACAGTACGACAAGTAAAACCATTGCATGTATGTCCCTTAATACAGTTAATCTGCTAAATTGTTTTGGTTTCGTCTTTCCCCATCACATTGGCCAGATACAGCGTTATCTACTGACATACGTTACCTATGTCAATACAGAACAAATGGCAAAAAGAGTACCGTGACAAATACTTTATACCATATCCTTCCGCAGACCACGTCAATGCGCAATATGCCCTCCGCCACGAAGGATAGTTCCATGGTGTCGTAATTTAGGTTATCTCGAATAACCCAGAACTAGAATCTGGTTTTGTAGCTTTGATTTCACTTGAATAATAACATATTACATCTTTCATTGTTATTAATGAAATTAAACACGTCATTACTTAGCTCGCTCCAAAAAAACAACAGAGTCACACTCATAAACAATGTGTTATTTTCTTTATTCTCTCTGGTAAATTTTACATACACAAAAACCAACAATTGAAATCTGTCGCCAAATGCAATATGTTTTTACTTGAAATCGAATATTTAATAACATCTCTAGAATTAGTCAATGACAAAAAAAAACAAACATGTATTCTTACAACTCTACCATAGGTTTATACAATTGTAACCACTGACCTTTTTTCAGTTTATTTTATTGGAGGTACTTTCACTTTAATGAAACTGTTTTTTATTTCTTAATTTTGTTTTTTTGTTTTATTTTATTTTATTTCATAAGAATAAAATATAATTGTAGCGATGTCCTGTTTATATGTTATTGTATTGTAATTTGAATAATACTAAGAAGAAAAAAAAAAACTAAAGTCTCGTGTAATTGGTCAGATGCTCGATGTACGTAATCTGTCCAAGAGAGAATATAATTTAGGCTACTCATTTTTTGTTGTTAATTTAATTTATGTATCTACCAGTATCGAGGTATGTTTGATAAAAAACTGAAACCATGCAATTGTTTGATTGACACCCATAAAATAAGTGCCGCGTTCATGCTAGTGGGAACTAGGAAACTCGTTGAACGCGGCACTTGTATAACAAAACCAGTTAGAAAGTAGGCATTTTCCGAGTTTCCTAGTTCCGACTGGCATATGAACGCTCGCCAAAAGAAAACGTTTTATTCTTGAAAAAATACATAATAATTTCCAAGTGATTCGGCTACTTCAAATAATTGGGATATATGAATACAAGTATTAGCCTACATCAGGGGTATTCAAATCTTACCTAGGTCCGGAGCCTGCTGGTTTTCTGTTCTACCTGATAATTAATTGCACCCACCTGGTGTCACAGGTCTAAATCAGTCCCTGATTAGAGGGGAACCATGAACAAAAGCAGTGGAACAGGCTTAGAGGTCCAGAGTTGAGTTTAAGGGGCCTACACTATCATTAACAGATATAGTCCATCGACTGTCATCCGAATGTGGACAGTAATATGATAGCTCTATCTCACTGTGTTTTGAGATTATATTTCACAGCCCAAAACCGAGGTACCACACTGATGTATAGGTACCCCATTGCATGTTCAGCCCCCTCTAGCGTTGTAGCACCAGAGATATCGATAGGCTACCAGAGATTTACATTATAGTTCAGGCCTCTGTTGTAGCGCCAGACTGGTCCTTCATGCCTTTGCTTTGTATATGTTGCCCCCTACTGGATGTATTCAAGTATGACATATATACCTTGAATGCGTTTGAAAAATAAAAACAAAAAACTCCCTTGTCACTGAGTGTCCTGGATCCTTTATTCTTGAATTAGTTCATAAACTAAGTAGGCATATAGTTTATTAGTGTGACTTGCTCTAGATATTCCACTTACATCCTATTAATGTGACTTGCTGTTCTTCATGGAGATTAATTAGCATTTTACACACATTTTTATTATGCTAATTCGATTTCCGCGAGGGAACGAACAGCGACTTAACAGGAAAACGAAGAAAGAAAGGCCATCAATGGGATTCTATTCAATCAATTGGCCAATACATTAGTTGGGTTACTTGCTCTTTGAATGACTTGGATAGGACTTTGGAGATGGCGGATGTTTGTGAGGCTTCTCCTGTTGAAAGGTGGAGGGGAGATCATATGGGTGTCCAGACGTGGCAGCATATGTCACTATGTTGGGATCTTTTTGAGGGTCTACAGATCCTCAAAAAATTCTACAGCTGCACCATCGAGAGCATTCTGACTGGTTGCATCACCACGTAGTATGGCAACTGCTCGGCTTCCGACCGCAAGGCACTACAGAGGGTAGTGAATATGGCCCAGTACATCACTGGGGCCATGCTTCCTGACACCCAGGACCTCTATACCAGGCGGTCAGGGGAATGCCCTAAAAATGGTCAAAGACTCCAGCCACCCTAGTTATAGACTGTTCTCTCTGCTATTGCATGTCAAGTAGTACCGCAGCGCCAAGTCTGGGACCAAAAAGCAACTTAACAGCTTCTACCCCCAAGCCATAAGACTGCTGAACAGTTAATCATATCGCTACCCGGACTATTTGCAATGACCCCCCCTTATTTTATTATTATTTATTATTATTTTTGGCACTGACTCTTGCACAGGCTCGACGTATACTCACTGGACTCTAACCACACACACACACACACACACACGGACACACACACCAAACACACACACACATGCATATTGACGCCACACACACACACACACACACACACACACACACACACACACACACACACACACACACACACACACACACACACACACACACACACACACACACACACATACATTTACATTCATTCACACTCTTCACATACTGTATGCTGCTGCTACTCTCTGTTTATTATCTATGCATAGCCACTTTACCCCTACCTACATGTACATATTACCTCAATTACCTTGACTAACCCGTACCCCTGCACATTGACTCGATATCGGTACACTTTGTATATAGCCTTGTTATTGTTATTTTACTGTTGTACTATTTTTCCAATAGTTATTTAGCAAATTTTTCTTACTTACTTTTTAAAAACTATGCATTGGCCTGAACTTCTTCTACTCTCAACCTCTCCGATCATTTTCATGATGTCCATCCGGTTTGCTTCTAAATGCCATATCTTTCTAACTGTGCTCTTTCCCAAAAGCTCCCAACATACAACCTATATACTTATTATGGACACAGTATGCTTACATTATTAGCTATCTTTGTTATTATTTGTTGTTATTTGTTATTAGTCCCATCCTTCAACTCTATTCAATACCTCCCATCTATCTCTTAACACCATCCATATAGGATTTCTATTTGCCATATATATTTCGACCGTACTGTGATGTTTTACAAAAGTTCTGAACCTTTCTATTCTCATTGCTTCTACAGATTGTGAATTAAAAATAAACATTTTTGCTAAAAGTATTATTATATTATTGATTGATTGACTATGACTTTTCAGATCACCCAGTAATGCTATCTGCAAGGTTAGTTCCAGGTAAATATTGCAATCCTTTAGCCATTCCTGGACCTGTGTCCAAAAACAAGCTACAAATGGACAGAACCAAAACAAATAATCGAATGATTCTATCTCTTCACAGCAAAATCTGCAGAGCTGGGAAGATTGTATCCCCCATATAAATAACATTCTATTGGTAGCAAGAATTTTATATAATAATTTAAATTGAAAGATTCTAATTTTTGAATCCGGTGTCGTTTTGCGTGTCAGTTCATAAACACTATGCCATGGGATCGGTACGTCAAAGATCTCTTCCCAACTATTTTGCAATCTATATGGGACGGCTGTCAATCCTTTGGTCCTTAAGTGAAACTGATATACTTTTTTATTTATCACAGTTTTCCTTAACCAATTATGTTCTTTAATGCAAGGCCGACAGACAAGTTCCTTACTTTCTCCCCCTTCAAAACTATGCATTGTTGATTAAAGGCTTGTAAGTAAGCATTTCACGGTAAGGTGTACTACACATGTTGTATTCAGGCGCATGTGACAAATAAAATACAATTGCTACAGAAAAGAGACAGTTGCCATGGACTTTAGAAATGATGTTGGATGTAGGCTAATATTTAACTACTATTCTCAGTTATAACTCAACATAACTTTTATTAATAGATGAGAAACACCATCTTGAGGTTTGAAAAATATAAATAATTTTATATACTGTAAGACATGACTATCAATATATAATGTAGGCCTAAGGTTCCTTTGCAATATCATTTCTTTGTACACCAATATCGCAAAGAATGTTCCTGCTGTATCAGATGTCGTTCTGATTCAGAGGGGCGGGAATCCTTCTTGGAATCCTTCTTGTTCCCCTTTATGGAAGGCTCAGAGGAATGTCACTACAAGTCAACAACCTCATAATGACAACAACCACATCTACCACTCCAGCACAATATTTCATTTGGAATATGAATATAATGGTAGCATTCACATTGACAATTCCACACCCACAATTGTTACAGTTTTTTCCAACTGCTTACACACAAAATCTTTTCATGTCACACGATTTTTGAAACCTCTCACTCAAAGTGCAAAACTACACACAAAATCTCCAAAACCATAAGCTATTTCTCAGCCTTTGACTCAGTTGTCAATTGCATAAAACACTTTTTTCAAAACACTACACACAATTCTCTACCTAAAACACAAGAAGTGACTTGCTTTCCTTTTCCAAACACAACCAATCAAAATGCTACACTTATTCACCAGGTCAAACACACTCTCCTCACATGTTCAAACACTAATTGCTTAACTGATCACTAACCAATCACTGCTTTACTGTAGTATAGGACTGTTTTGAACAATGGATGCCAACAATGGACAGAGAGCAAGAGGAGTAGGAGGGAGAGGCAGGGAACAACAACGAGGACAAATTCAAAGACGAATAGTTGGAAGAGGAGGAGTAGGAGGTAGAGGAAGAGGAAGAGGAAGAGGAAGAGGAAGAAGAGGACGAGGGCAAAGAAGAGAAGGAAGGAGAGCCATCTCTGATGAGATTAGGGCAACACTTGTTGATCATGTGATCAACCACGGTTTGACCATGAGAGAGGCTGGACTGAGAGTCCAGCCCAACTTGAGTCGATTTACAGTGGCGTCCATAATTCGAACCTTCAGAATTGAGAACAGGTATTCAACTATCTAATTACTATTATAGCATTACAGTAATGTACTGTAAAATACGTGTGACTGCATCATAGGACGCTTGTTTACAGATGTACAAGAGACTGCAATTATAAATATGGTTTTGGCCAACAATGCAATTAGGATTTGAGAGAATAGAGAGCATATCTTTAATAATGACACCATATTTAACAACATCAATGCTGTAAGCCTGTCGACCATACAACGCATCCTCCAATGGCACCAAGTGACGATGAAACAACTTTACAAGGTGCCATTTGAGAGAAACTCTGACAGAGTCAAGAATCTACGACATGACTTTGTAGAGGTATGTATGCAACACTACTTCCAGTACTTCAGACATACCATATTTACTCATCTGTATATCCTTTTGTCTGTTACAGAGAGTATTGGAGATGGATGCCCATGTACATTTATTTATGTGGATGAGGTTGGCTTCAACCTCACCAAAACCAGGCGCCGCGGAATAAATGTAATAGGACAGAGGGCAATTACCAATGTCCCTGGACAGCGTGGGGGTAATATAACTATGTGTGCTGCCATCACTCAAAACGGGGTCCTCCATCACAATGCCACACTGGGTCCGTACAACACCGGCCATATCCTCACTTTTCTGGATGCAATTTACACAATGCTTGTCCCTGATCCAGATCAGGAGCCTGCTAGATTTGTGGTTATATGGGACAATGTTAGTTTTCACCGGGCTGTTCTGGTCCAAAACTGGTTTGCCACCCATCCACAATTTGTAGTTTTGTACCTACCCCCATATTCACCTTTTCTAAATCCCATAGAGGAATTCTTCTCAGCCTGGCGCTGGAAAGTGTATGATTGCCAACCCTATGCCCGCATGCTGCTTCTCCAGGCAATGGAGGACGCATGTGGGGACATAGAGGTTGCCTCTGTCCAAGGTTGGATACGCCATGCTAGGAGATACTTCCCTCGATGTTTGGCAAGAGAAAACGTATCTGGTGATGTGGATGAAGTATGTGGCCAGACCCAGCCACGGAGAAGAGATGAAGCGTTAGCTTAGCACTGGTGACTGCCCCCCCCCCCTTACCATTCCTGACGCACCCCGCCCCACACACAATTGGTATTCTAAGAATGTACTTTGACTTGTTTATGTTTTGTGTAGCTAAGTAACGCTTATTTTTAATTTTTTTAAGTCCGGTGCTTACTGCCAATGTGGCAAGGCGACAGTACTTTACTGGTACGACACAAAACAAAAATACTTAAGCAAATACTTTACAATACATACATTAAACATTGTGTGTGTGTGTGTGTGTGTGTGTGTGTGTGTGTGCGTCTATCAGTTACACATACATGTCAGTACATACACACAACAAGTAGGTCACATGGGGGAGAGGTGTTGTGCCGTGAGGTGCTGCTTTATTAGTGTTTTTTAAAAATATTTTTTATTTTATTCATTTTTTCATCACCTCCTGTTATCAGAGGATGGGGCTGAAAGCAAGACATCTTTGACGACATCCGGCCTAGTTGACTTCTGATCACAAACAATGCTCTGAGCTACACCGGAACAACTGGTGGTATCTCTTTCCTCAGCATCTATGTTGGCCTCAAAGCCTCGTGCAGCATTGGAGGTCTCACTTGTTGCCATGCTGATGGCGTGAAAAGATGGCAGAGGGGAGGACTTAACACTCAGTAGACTGCCTATATCAGTTACAGTTCTGGTTGGAGATGACTCTCTGCTTTGTGCATCAGAAACCACAGAGTTCATGACCTGGCTTACCATTACTTTGGTAAACCAACTGACTGTGTCACTAAATGCTGATGTAGAAGACGCCAGGGTAGTGGGTTCGATCCCCAGGACCACCCATATGTAAAAATGTATGCACACATGACTGTAAGTCGCTTTGGATAAAAACGTCTGCTAAATGGCATATTATTATATTATATTATTAAGAAGAGCATAAAATCTTTGTATACGCTAGATGTCACACTGACTCCTTGAGCCCAACTCATTGAAGCTATAGAGGGCACAAGGCTAGGAAGCAGGAGACGCTTCACAGACTCCTCTGCAAACAGCTGAACCAGCTCGTAAGCTGTGGGTTTCCCCACCTTCTTGTCATTCCTCTTCATCTTAGTAAGGATTGTATCAGATGCACTCTTTCCAGCCGCCACTGTCAGAACCAGAGGGGTCAAGTTGCTCTCAGAAATTATGCGGTTGCCCTGGTGAGGTTGCTCTGTTGTTTTCTGTTCTACACAGTCAGTTGAATCACGCACACCAAATACAGAAGATTAGCTATGTTCTGCTATAGGTGATTCAGTCGATGACTGAGCATCTTAAAATGGGCTGAGTAGTACTCGCTGGTAATTCAGAAGGGATGGCAATTCCAGGGAGTGCAAATTCCCACTCTGACTTCTGTGATCTGGCAGATGAGGATGACAACGAGGAAGAAGGCCGCTGTGGTGCTTGATAGACCAGTTCCTCATCACATTCACTGCTTACCTTCTCAACATCGTCCAGGATCATTCCAACCACATTCTCTATTTGTGAAAGTTCTCCTGCAGTCACTGTTTGGTTAGATTTTGACAGCTCTTTCTGAATTGAAACCAGAATATTGCTGAGGGTCTTTTTGGCTTGAGCTTTTGTTGCTTGGCTTGTTTTTGCCATGTGAAATATTTCGTAACTTTGTCTTGACATTGTGGTAAATAGTCTTCGCAGTTGTCCAGATCTTCTTCTCAGATACTTCCACACCAGATTGGGAGCCTTCGGGTGCCGCCTCAGTGTACTCTGAGGTTTTCTCAGCCATAGAGTAGTAGAATACTTTGTGGATGGGAAAAGGCCACCTCTGACCTATACATGGTCACAATCTGGGACAAGACCTCTTTGGTGCAGGGCACCAGGTTGCAATCACAGAGAGACAGTAATGGTTGAAAGTTCTCACTTTCGCATTTACGGAGAGTACCAAGTCTAGTTGAGTTGACCTCTTGTAGTATTATCTCACTATTACTAGTTTCAGGTTGCTCTGGTGTTTTCTCTTCAACAGAGTCAGTTGAATCACGCACACCAAATACAGAAGATGAGCTATGTTCTGCTATAGATGATTCACTCCTACTTGGTGAAGGCGAACTTGAAACAGGTGTGCTCCAGAAGCATAGCACTGGAGTCAGTGTGCTCCGTAAGCACAGCACTGGAGTCAGATTTCTCCAGAAGTTCTTCCCCCTGGACAGAAACTCCACTCATTCTGAGGAACAATTCCTTCAGCTTTGCCTAAGCCTGTCACACATACTACGAGCTAAGTGGAAGCTTTTTGGCTTGGGCGTGCAGTGTCTCACTTGGGGATCTCTCTTGGCACTTGTTTGCTGATCTAATTAAGCTTAGTTCACAATGTCCTTGACATCGTCAACAAATTTATCGATTATTTTTTATGTGGTCTGTATGAGCCCAATGGCCGCTAAATGAAGGACCCTGTCAGATGGGCCAGATGAGTTCATCAAGCTGGGAGTGGCACTAAATGAATGGGAAGGTTGAACCATATAAGAGATACTGCTCCTGAACCTTCTCATGAGAATTTCGCTCACTGCCTTTGAGGCTTTGATTTTGAACTTCGCACTAGACAGTGTCAAAATGTTGCCTTGCAAGTAAATATTATGTTCAGTTCCTCTGGAACAGGAGAGTCTTCAGCATCCAGGTGCTCCACTGCAAGGTCACTGCCAGATGCCAACATTTTAACTTTCAGAGCCACTTCTCGAAGCAGCTTAGCCGATTCCGGATATTATTTTTCCAATTAATCCACCATGTCTGCAATAAAAGTAATCACCTCTTCAGTTACAGGTGGATGTCAAGGCGTCAGTGTAATGCGGTAGGACAAAGTCAGGCGCAAGACACAGAGCTAATCGGAAAACTTACTTTACTCGTAGGTATCTTAATGAACATACCTCCACGTAGGGAGGAACAAACCCGCTCACATACGACAACCAAAACATGAACAAACACGCACAACACACAGTGTGAGCCAGAAGGTTAAATAGGGAAGACATAATTACAAGATGGGAAACAGGTGAGACCAATACAGACAAAACAAGTAGAACATAGAAACGGATTGGTAGCAGCTAGTACTCCGGTGACGACGAACGCCGAAGCCTGCCCGAGCAAGGAGGAGGGGCAGCCTCGGCTGAATTCGTGACAGTACCCCACCCTTGACGCGCGTACCAGCCGTGCGCCGACCCCGGCGACGGCCAGGAGGACGCGGAGCAGGGCGAGTCGGATGACTACGGTGGAAATCCCTCAACATGGAGGGATCGAGGATGTCCCTCCTAGGGACCCAGCACCGTTCCTCCTGACCGTACCCCTCCCATTCCAAGAGATACTGCAGGCCCCCCACCCGACGCCTCGAATCCAAGATGGAATGGACCAAATACGCCGGTGCCCCCTCGATGTCCAGTCGGGGCGGAGGAACCTCCCGTACCTCAGACTCATGGAGTGGACCAGCTACTACCGGCCTGAGGAGAGACACATGGAACGAGGGGTTAATACGGTAATTAAGAGGAAGCTGTAACCTATAACAAACCTCGTTCAATCTCCTCAGGACTTTAAATGGCCCCACAAACCGCCGACCCAGCTTCCGGCAGGGCAGGCGAAGGGGCAGGCTGCGGTGGCGGTTGGCGCTCGCCTTTTGTCGCCTGATGGCCCACTGCAGGCGTACATGGGCAGCGTTCCAGGTCTCTTCCGAGCGCCGAAACCACTCATCCACCGCAGGAGCCTCGATCTGGGTCTGATGCCAAGGTGCCAGAACCGGCTGATAACCTAACACACTGAAAGGGAGAAAGGTTAGTGGATGAGTGGCGGAGTGAATTTTGGGCCATCTCTGCCAAGGGGATAAAACCCGAACCACTCCCCCACTGTGATGCAGTGGTCTAAGGCACTGCATCACAGTGTTAGCTGTGCCACTAGAGATCCTGGTTCGAATCCAGGCTCTGTTGTAGCCGGCCGCGACCGGGAGACCCATGGGGCGGCGTGCAATTGGCCCAGCATCGTCCAGGGTAGGGGAGGGAATGGCCGGCAGGGATGTAGCTCAGTTGATAGAGCATGGCGTTTGCAACGCCAGGGTTGTGGGTTCGATTCCCACAGGGGGTATGAAAAAAATAAATAATGTATGCACTAACTGTAAGTCGCTCTGGATAAGAGCGTCTGCTAAATGACTAAAATGTAAAATGTAATGTAAAAATGTCCTGGCAATAGGACCGCAGAAATCTACCCACATCCTGGTTAACTCTCTCCACCTGCCCATTACTCTCGGGGTGAAAGCCTGAGGTCAGGCTGATCGAGACCCCCAGACGTTCCATAAACGCCCTCCAGACCCTTGAGGTGAACTGGGGACCCTGATCCAATACAATATCCTCAGGCACCCCGTAGACCGGAAGACGTGTGTAAATAGGGCCTCAGCAGTTTGTAGGGCCGTAGGGAGACCTGGCATAGGAATGCGACGGCAGGACTTAGAAAACCGATCCACAACGACCAGGATCGTGGTGTTCCCTTGTGAGGAGGGAAGGTCCGTAACAAAATCCACCGATAGATGGGACCACGGCCGTTGTGGAACGGGTAGGGGTTGTAATTTCCCTCTGGGCAGGTGTCTAGGTGCCTTACACTGGGCGCCCACCGAGCAGGAGGAAACATAAACCCTCACGTCCTTGGCTAAAGTGGGCCACCAGTACTTCCCACTAAGACAGTGCACTGTCCGACCGATTCCAGGATGACCAGAGGAGGGTGACGTGTGAGCCCAATAGATCAATTGATCGCGAACCTCGAGCGGCACGTACATACAACCCTCTGGACACTGGGGGGGAGTGGGCTCGGTACATAACGCCCTGCTCGATGTCAGCGTCAACCTCCCACATCACCGGTGCCACCAGACACGACGCCGGAAGTATGGGAGTGGGCTCAATGGACCTCTCCTCTGCGTCATACAGTCGGGACAGGGCGTCTGCCTTAGCGTTCTGGGAACCTGGTCTGTAAGTAAGAGTAAACACAAAACGAGTGAAGAACATGGCCCACCTTGCCTGGCGAGGGTTCAATCTCCTCGCCACCCAGATGTACTCCAGATTGCGGTGGTCAGTCAAAATTAGAAAAGGGTGTTTAGCCCCCTCAAGCCAATGCCTCCACACTTTCAGAGCTTTAACCACAGCTAACAGCTCTCGGTCCCCCACATCATAGTTGCGCTCCGCCGGACTGAGCTTCTTTGAAAAGAAAGCACAGGGGCGGAGCTTTGGTGGCGTACCCGAGCACTGAGACAGTACAGCTCCTATCCCAGCCTCGGACGTGTCCACCTCAACCTGGAATGCTAAGGAGGGATCCGGATGAGCCAGCACTGGAGCCGAGGTAAACAGGTCCTTCAGATGACCAAAAGCCCTGTCCGCCTCAGCTGACCTCTGCAGTCGCACCGGTCCCCCCTTCAGCAAGGAGGTAATGGGAGCCGCTACCTGATCAAAGCCCCGGATAAACCTCCGGTAGTAGTTGGAAAAACCCAAGAATCACTGTACCTCCTTCACCGTGGTTGGAGTCGGCCAATTACGTACGGCCGAAATGCGGTCAATCTCCATCTCCATCACCTGATGCAGACAGGCGGTGCCCTAGGAAGGAGATGGACTCTTGGAAGAACAGACATTTCTCTGCCTTCACATTCAGATCAGGACATGCTTCAACAGTCGTCCAAGTACCTTACGCACCAGGGACACATGCTCGGCCCGTGTAGCGGAGTATATGAGAATGTCATCAATATACACCACTACACCCTGTCCGTGCAGGTCCCTGAAAATCTCATCAACAATGGATTGGAAGACTGATGGAGCATTCATCAACCCGTATGGCATGACAAGGTACTCATAGTGCCCAGAGGTGGTACTGAATGCTGTCTTCCACTCATCTCCCTCCCGGATATGCACCAGGTTGTACGCGCTCCAGAGATCCAATTTAGTGAAGAAGCGCGCCCCGTGCAATGACTCCGTCATACTAGCAATCAGAGGTAGTGGATAGCTGTACTTCACAGTGATCTGATTAAGACCACGGTAGTCAACGCACGGGCGTAAGCCACCATCCTTCTTCTTCACAAAAAAGAAACTTGAGGAGACAGGGGAAGTGGAAGGCCAAATGTATCCCTGCCTCAGAGATTCGGTGACATATGTTTCCATAGCTGCCGTCTCCTCCTGTGACAGGATACACGTGACTCCGGGGAAGTGCAGCGCCTACCTGGAGGTTTATCGCACAATCCCCCTGTCGATGGGGTGGTAATTGAGTCGCCTTCTTTTTACAGAAGGCGAGAGCCAAATCGGCATATTCAGGCGTAATGTGCATGGTGGAAACCTGGTTTGGACTTTCCACCGTAGTTGCCCCTACGGAAACACCTACACACCTCCCCGAGCACTGACTTGACCATCCCTTGAGAGCCCTCTGTTGCCATGAAATAGTGGGGTCATGAGAGGTTAACCAGGGAAGCCCCAACACCACTGGAAACGCAGGAGAATCAATCAGATAGAGACTACGTTTTTCCTCATGACCCTCTGCGTCTTCATCCAGAGTGGAGCTGTGACCTCCCTAATCAGACCTGACCAGCTGTGACCACTGGACCCAGGTGGTGAAAAGGTGGACCGCGGTGTAGGTGGTGGTGTAATTGGAGGAGGTATAGGAAAACCTCCTCTCTCCCATCGCTCCATAGTATTCACCACGCGTTCCATTGCGGTGCCGAGAGCCTGGATCATGGTCGCTTGTTGTTGGACGCGTTCTTCCATCGATCCGACTGGCATGGCTGTACCTGCTGACTCCATAAATGGTGCGTGTTTCTGTCAAGGCGTCAATGTAATGCGGTACGACGAAGTCAGGCGCAGGACACAGAGCTAATCAGAAAACATACTTTACTCGTAGGTATCTTAATGAACATACCTCCACGCAGGGAGGAACAAACCTGCTCACATACGACAACCAAAACATGAACAAACTCGCACAACACACAGTGTGAGCCAGATGGTTAAATAGGGAAGACATAATTACAAAATGGGAAACAGGTGAGACCAATACAGACAAAACAAGTAGAACATAGAAACATGGATTGGTAGCAGCTAGTACTCCAGTGACGACGAATGCCGAAGCCTGCCCGTGCAAGGAGGAGGGGCAGCCTCGGCTGAATTCGTGACAGTGGAATGCCGGACTCAACATCTAATTCAGAGGTGGAGCTCTGGTCCTCTGGGGCG